CTCTACTGGTCCTCACCCCCTTCAACCAACCAGTCTACTGGGTCCTCATCCACACCACCAGTCCTCTCCCCATCAGCCATTTTACTGGTCCTCTCCCCTTCATCTGTGCTACACGTTGTATGACTGGCCTTGTGCAGTCTTTGCAGGGCACTGCCGACATTAACAGATGGAGGGCAATGCCGACACCAGATGTACCGGCGATGGGAATAAAAACAGTTTGCACAGAAAGGGACACAGTACATAATGCAGAACATGTTCCTGGGTGCCCGGATACCGGTGCCCGGGGGGAGGGGTGCAGACTCCGCAGTCCTCAGATACCGGTGCCCAGGGTGAAGAGTCCACGGTCCTCGGATACCAGCAATCTGAACAGTGCAGCGACATCTACATAAGCCGTGACCGATATACGGGACAGAAGCCGTCATTTGTGGTTTTCACCGAGAACTGACCGGAACACAGGACAAAAAAAAGTCACAAAACACGAGAACAGACAAGTCAGGAAGGGGAAAAAAAAAGTGCCTTTATGCTAAAGCCGAGAAGAGGACAGCGGGGCATCGGAAGTGCGGCCGTCCAGAGAATGGCCTCCGAGTCATTTCCGGTGCTTCTTGATGAAATTGATGAGCGCGTTCGTGGAGGAGTCGTGAGAGGTGACGGGCGCTTCGCCCTCAAGTTCAGGCTCGATCTGCTTGGCCAGCTGCTTCCCCAGCTCCACCCTGTTCAGACACAAATGCGTTAGAATTGGGTGCATATCCCATGTCTTGCTCATTTTTAAAGTGACCTTGTGCTTTGCCCATGAATCTTCTATATTGAAACAGCTACCCCTGATATCACTGAACACTGGGAGCTTCTCAATGTGCATTAGAAGCTGCAGCAAGTCAGAGCCCACCTCATTTCCTGGCTGGAGGACGTCCAGCATTATCTAGTTTATTCCTCCACAGCCTGAATGTCCCTTGCCCTGACCCCTTTCATTGGATTCCAGTTCTTTCAATCATGGAGGCTCAGCATTACCTAGGGGTGGTCTACATGCAAATACAGCCCGTCTAGGAATGCCCACTCCTCCAGACTGACATCCACCCATCAAGTTGTTATTTGCATAACACACTCTGCGCTGCCTAGCCCCACCCACTGTGTCCCTCAGACACTTCCCAGTTAAATCATCCTAATGCATGGCAGCATGGATATGCAGTTCAATGGAACCCAGCAGAGCTGCCAGATATGATGCTCCACAACTACACAAGCCACCCACCCCCCACCCTCTACAGATGTGAAACAGCCTCGAGTTGTCCTTTAAGAGGATTAGAAACATAGTACTATTGGTGCAGTGATGAGGCGTCTGTTCCAAAAAGCACAGGATGGAGGATTTTTATTTTTAAATAAAAAGAGAAAGGCATTACAAGGAAAAACTCCTACAATAGACCTGGGCATTTAGGGGGCAAGCCCGGTGTTTGGTCTGCGGCTGTCCGGCCCGCCTTCCTGGGCTCTGTAATGGCTGACAGTGGATACACTGGCCTCCAAGGCAAGCGCATCCACTGCAAGCCATAGCCAGTGCAGGTCGGTTATCAGTCCGTGTTCGGATCGCATTTCTCTCGGTTCTTGGCTGTTAGGACCTAGCAGCCAATGGCATCAAAAGGTCCTCCTCTACAGCCACTGGTTGAAAGGACTGCTGGATGGTTCTAGCATCCAATGACATTAGGGGTTCCTCCTCTGTACCCTCTCCTGCAGCTTCGGCCCATGGACTTGAAAAGAAAAAAAAAAAAGTTAAATGTTGTGTGGGATGCAGGGCGTTGGGGTTAAGCATATGCAGTTTTCTGCACAGCAGTAACTAAGACATGGTACAGTGTGGCAGGTGCGTTGCAGGCACTACTTTTTCCAACCACAACGCATGGCATTACTGCACCGCGTGTTTTCACGTTTCTGGACAGGAGGAGAGTTTGGAGTGCTATATGAATGGCAATGCAACTGCCACACATTTAGTGTGTTGCACGACATCGTGTAAGGTTTCAACCCTCCAAGTTTACCATGTGGCCCTCCTGAAAAAAAATGTAATTGCCCACCCCTGTCCTAGTACCCAGTAAATGGACCTCCATTTCATAACACACACTTTTGTGATTTTACTGGTAGATGGCAGGCGGATAGATACTCACCCCCATTGGTCATAGCTGTTGATATCCCACACAACGCCTTGGACAAAGATTTTGTGTTCATACATGGCTAGGAGTGAAGGAAAAGATAGTCAAAGAAGTGTACATACGATAAAACAGAAACACACAAACCAATATGGACAAAAAACACACCACACAACAAGGTTTACCAATTAAAGCTCCCAAAGTAAATGGGTCCAATTTGCTGAAGACAATGGAATTTGTTGGTCGGTTCCCCTCAAAAACCTATAAGAGAAAATTAGGTGCCAGCCTTATTAAAGAGTCTCCCAGCAGCACAATAGGACAGGCTGGAGTAATGTTAGAGTAAGTCAGGTTACATAGTATTTGAGGTGGAAAAAAAAAGACACAGGTCCAACCTTTGTGTGTCTGTATGTGATCATGCATGCACAATCACGCACAAAAGAAAAAGAAAAAACCCATAACTAAAAAATAAACCACACACCATGGGGGTGTAATCATAGAACGTTGGTGCAGAGCCATTTGCTTGGTGAACAGGTTAGTTTTAGAGTTGCACCATATTGTGCCCACTAGATGGAGCCGAAGAGCATAGGAATATCCTTTGCGCCTCAGCTTCGAGTGGCCATAATAGGGTGGCGTATCGAAATCTAGCATTCATAAAGCAAGCGGCTCTGCAAACATTTTGGAAATACATTCCTATTTGCATCAAGTACGTTCAGGAGCCATATAAGAGGCAGCCATGCTTTATAAAACTGGAGATCATGCGAGGTTCATTTATATTTTGACGCAAAATGTCTATACATTCTATTACAGGTATTTATGTAGCACTGTCAACTTGTGCATTACATTACATAGTGCACAGTGCACAGTGCACATTCACATCAGTCCCAGCCCTCAAGCCAACCCATCTAAAAAAGGTGCCCATACACTGCACGATTCTCGTACGAGAATCGCGGGAAATCCTGTGATCGTACGAGAATCGTGCAGTGTACGGAAGGCGTGCGAATGTTCCTACTGTACGGTCGCACGACTTTTGTATTTCAAGCATGTCCGAAAACCAGCCGAGAATCGTGCGATTTTTGGCTGGTTTGAATCATGCTCGAGATATAACTGCTGAACGGGCCGGTGTGCGCACGCGCACACTGCCCGTTCGGCATTGCAGTCATCAGAAGCCCGCCCCTCGCAAGTACGATCTGCCTGTCCAAGATGGGCAGATCGTACGTTTTTTAAATTACTTTACAACCCTCGCAAGACGAAAGTTTTGCGAGGGTTGTAAAGTGTATGGGCACCTTAAAAAAGGTCCCCATCTCACATGTATACATACAGGGCCAATTAACCTTCCAGGGTGTATTCGGAGTGTGGGAGGAAACCGGAGTACAGGTAGAAAGGTTAACCACTATGGTGCCCTGTATACATTTAACAAGTTCACAACTGAATGTAAAATCATCCTCACCCCTTAAAAAGGAGAACTATGGGGTTAAGGCTTTTCCTCATAGTTCTCCTTAGGGTAACGGGAGGACACAAACTAGCGTCCTCCCATCACCCTAGGCTCAGTATACCGCAAGCTGTAGCTCGCGGTATACTGAGACGCCGCAGCTGAAGCGGATCCCGACAATTGTGCCGGGATCCGCCCAGCTGCGTGAGTGACAGCTGGCTCTGCCTATCTAGAGGCAGAGCCAGCTGTACCCTCCCCCTCCCGTTCGCCAGTCAGCGCTGGCAGATCGGAGCGGGGAGGGGGGAATCCAGCCCCTCCCGTCACGGCAGAGAGCCGCGACAGGATCGAGAGGTGAGCGAACGCCGGTATGTGTTCGCTCACTTCCCGATCTACTGAGCCGACCTGTGACAGTCTCATTGTCACAGGTCGGCTAGAACTATGAGGCGAGTGAAAAGCACCCCTCCCCCCCTCATAGTTCTCCTTTAACCAGTTGACATCCGCGGTGTTAAACCCCCTTCCCATCCAGGCCATTTTTCAGTATTCAGCGCTGCGGTACTTTAACTGACATTTATTCCGTCATGCAGCGCTGTACTGAAATGAATTTTATACCCTTTTTTGGGGACAGATAGAGCTTTCTTTTGGTGGTATTTATTCACCACTGGGGGTTTTATTTTTTTACTGTATTAAAGGAAAAAAATTACCGAAATTAAAAACAAAAAACAAAAAACAGTTTCCCCTATATTAAAACATTTATTATTACCCAATTTTTTGGTAAAATATAAAAGATGGGGTCACGTCGGGTAAAAAGACACTAAACATGTCAAGCCTTAAAATTGCGTGCGCGCGCGAAACCTCAAAAAACGATAATACCCAAAATTGGCCCTAGGCGACGCTTTAAAAGCTGTTACCGCTCATCAGTTTAGTGTTATCAGTGATTGATGGCCCTAAAATGATTGCTCTCACTGCGACGTTCGCGGCGATATGTAACATGTGTAGCGCAATTGTAATTTTTGCGCGCTGGGGCACCGGACGCGTATTTACGTTTATAGGCGCGTAAACGTGGGGGTGGGGGAGTTAAACATTTTGGGGGGGTTTTTTCCCCTTTTTTTATATGTGGCTTTTATTTTATTTTATTTTTTTATGTGTTACTTTTCTTTTTTTTTATTTATATTTTTTTTTTTGCACTTATTGTTATTGCTATTATATAGGGGGATAACAACCCCCTATATAATAGCAAAGGCACACTGACAGGTCCTCTTTATGGAGATATTAGGGGTCTCTAGGACCCCTAATATCACCTATGGACCCCAAAAGAAGCTGATAAAGCAGAGATCTGCTTTATCAGCTTCTTCTCTCTCCAGATGACTGACAGGTGAATGCGGAAGTGATGTAACACACATCACTTCTGCATTCACAGCCCGGACGGGGATCAGCAAGGAGCTGATCTCCCGTCCTCCTCCTCCTGACGCCCTCGGAGCCGGTCCCGGGATCCAAGATGGGGCAGCGGATCCCGGGAATCAAGGTGAGGGGTCAGGGGGAAAAAAAAAAAAAAAAAAAAAACCGGAAGCGCCGAGCGTGCGCGGGGGGGGGCTTGCCGCGAACGAGCACATATAGGCGATCGGCGGGCTATGGACCCGCTGATCGCCTATATGTGTGACACCCGGTACCGGGGGTGTGCATTGATCGGGTCTTTTCCGCCCGTGCGTGCCCGCTAGGGGGCGCGCGCGCGAGCAGAAAAAAATTGCCGTCTGGAGACGGCAACCCGCAGATGCTGCAGTGCCGTCCGTCCGTTTTTTTACTACGGGCGGACGGCAAGAGGTTAAAGAATGTACGGATTTAGGTGGGTAGAGAAGTCAGAATGAATGTGAAGTTAATCGAAGCTGCTTACCATTTGGTCTGGACATGTCGGCATCAATGACCTCTGGTCATAAAAGGGTTAATGGCTGTAAAATACATAAACTAAAAGTCACCTTATGTGGAAGAAGCTTCTCCAGAGTCTCTCCGCTCAGTCCAGAGGCCTGGAGTTCCGCTTTGGCTTCTTCTGTAGACTTTCCCTTCATCAGAGCCTCTGTCTGGGCCAGGAAGTTGGCCAAAAGGATCTAACGGAGAATAGAAGATGGGTTATGGGTGGAGGAGCCGCTTGTCACAGCACACAGGCTGTCCAAGGCAATGCTAGTCTTTTCTAAAGCTGGAATTAAATGATAAAGATATCAGAGATCAGCTGTTGTCTCACCTTGTGGTGCAGCCCATTCCTGATTGGATGCTGAGTCTGTACCGGAATCAGGAAGTCACATGGAATCCTGCGAGTTCCTACAGATAAACATTAGAAATTATTAACACTGAATTTCAGGATCACATTGTACAATCAAGTTAGAGGATTGGCAAACCCAAAACCGTGGCAGCCAACTGGAGTTTGAACACAAGACAATTTGACCTCTAGTGCCTGGAAATACTGTCACCATATAGGTTGGTCTGAGTGTTTTCACTAAAGTGGTGGCCAGCAGTCAGAGGAAAAGCTATAGCATGACCTCAAGTGTGTGCCCATGATTCTGACCCCCACACCCCATTTTAGTTTTCTACCATAGTCCACACATCTCTTTACTTGCCTGGTTCCCTGTAGTGGGGAGTGTGGCTTGATTGTTATACATTGCTCCACCACTCTGACTTGCCCAGTCCCTTTGCTAAAACTTTTGTTAATTGGCTGGCCGTTTCCATGCTGCCCCACCCCATGTTAAGTTCCTAGAGTGTTGGACATCTCCAATAGGTCTGCCTCCACTGGTGGTTAACAAATTGGCACCTTCATTCTCTGGGCTTAAATTTGAAGGGTGAAGAGTTCACAGTCATGGCTTAACACCATTAAAGTCATGTCCATACAGTGCAAATACCAACCTTGATGTATGAGCTGATAAAAGGCGTGTTGGCCATTGGTTCCGGGCTCTCCCCACACTACAGGCCCCGTGTTGTAGTTGACACGGGCTCCTGACTTGGTGATGTATTTTCCATTGGACTCCATGTCACCCTTTAAAAAAAAAAAATTCCAGTTCAGTTTCTTCCCATTTACCAACAACAAACTCAGGAAATGTTACTATAGCTTACAGACCTGCTGGAAGTAGGCTGCAAAGCGGTGCATGTACTGGTCATAGGGGAGCAGGGCCTGGGTCTCACACCCATAGAAGTTGACGTACCAGACTCCCAGTATGGCCAGAATTACCGGGATGTTGTTTTCCAGAGGAGTTTTGTAGAAGTGATTGTCCTGCAACACAACAAGTGTCAGGCCGTGCATTACAAAATTCATTTACAGACCAAATACACAAGAAATCAGTGATGAGGCAACAGTCGGGAGTCCAGATTTTTTTTTTTTTAAATTAAGTATGCAATAAGAGCCAATGCATTTTGGCGTGTTACAGCATACACAAAGTGGGTACATACCATCCAGTGGGCTCCCGCCAAAAGCTTCTCAAAGTTATCATAACCTGGAATACAAAAAGTATACAAAGTAAGATCTGTGAACAAGATTTTACTCGTGTTTTGATGCACACCCATTCCTTTAAAGCAGCGGTCGCCAACCAGTGGTCTGTGGACCACGAGGAAATTTTGGTGGTCCCCGGGCCCCTCTGATGCCGTGCAAGTCGGGCTGTCATTGAAGCGGCACAGAGGCTCCGGGGCTGCCTCTCACTGACTCAAACAGCGGCGGTCACAAGGAATGGCAGAACATCCAAATCAAGGTGACATCCCGACGTTGAACAGGATAACTTACCGATATGAAGGGCGATGGACAGACCAATTGCAGACCAGAGAGAATAGCGGCCTCCGACCCACTAAAAACGATGAGGATATTTTTCTTTAGAAAACACACAAATTTATATTTTGTGAATTATAAACAAAACAAGGTCCATTTAAAGGCCGGCTCTCAGAATAGATTGCCTTGACATTGAAATGCTCTCCGACCTTTCATGTTGTAGAGTAGACTGTCAGCCCCATGCAGCATGAAAAAAGGTCAGACCTGAGAATAACTAGCAGAGATCTGGAGGTCATGTTACCGGACAGCTGTCTGTAGCCTGGGAATTGCTGGGGCACCAAACCTCGTCTGACACACGATGAAGTGTTAGGTAGCCGTATGTGGGAAGTGCTTGTGAAGAGGTTTTTGGCCTTCAGCAGATCCCCCGTGTCCCGCCACTAGCACATTGCCCACCCAACCAAGAGAACATCTGACTGCAGATTGGCCTTAAAGTTTTTTTGTTGAACACACAAAGGGAAACCTGTACTCTACCTCATGTAGGCCAAAGCAACAAAGTACGAAGTACTCCCAGGTATGGAGAGCATGCAACATTGCTGGAACCTGGCGACTGGTTTAGTTCCGTCACAGTGGGGTGAAAGGGACAGACCCCCACTGTGCAGGTCCTGATTAAGGCTCTGACTAGAGCTATCCCAGAGCCTTCTCTGCTCTCCTTTTGGTGGCAGAATGCAGTGGTGGGGGGGGTACGAAGGGAAGGGAACTTCATGGACAAACCACCTCTTGTTCATGCATCCTTCTAAAAATGTAATTTAAAGTGGTCAGTCTTACAAGCTCCTTCAGTACAGGTTCCCTTTAACAGCTTGTGTTTTGAGTGGAGGGAGATGCGAGCTGTTTGGAGTGTGACACTACTTGTCCTGGTGATGCTCAGTGAAGGTCCCACAGTGTAAGGCAGGGGGTCTCAAACCTCCGGCCCTCCAGCTGTGCTGAAACTACAAATCCCATGATGCATCTCTACGGGAGTCATGTCTGTGGCTGTGAGAATCTTGCAACGCCACATGGGATTTCTAGTTCCACCACAGCTGGAGGGCCGGAGGTTTGAGACCCCTGGTGTAAGGTTACTGCAGGGACCCTTTGCTCTTGATTCCAATGCAGCAGCTCATATACTGGTTTTAAATGGAATCCTCTGACAGATGTGAGAATGATGGGTGAAGAGATATCTGCCAGTCCATAAACCCACCAGGACACTGCTACACTCAAGACCTGGCCAGCCAGTAGACACAGCATGAGCATAGTTGTAGATATTTTCTCGGACTTCAAATAATGAACCCTTTAGGATCTTAGGAAACACTTGTCAACTCCCCTTCGGAAGCCCTATATGACCCTACTGTGGCATCAGACTGCAAGCTGACCTGGAATTTGGTCACACCTTATGACAGTAGGGAAGGGGGGGGGTGAAGAGGATGCTGGACCTTCCCATAGGATATGGGATTCCTAATAAAGGCTTTATATTAGAACTTGGCAAGATGAGGAATTGTTTTGCATGTGCAACTGTTGCATAATGTGATCATAGTGCATTATACAAAAATAGGGGGACATCAGTGGTGTATGGAAGAACATTTTACCATCTTTCAAGGTTCAGTAAGAGCCATTAATCTGTGGAATACCCCAAACATGAAATGTTATATAAAGTAAAAATAAACATATCTGGTACATCTCTGCAAAACATGTACATTTCCCTCTGTTTTATCCCTTTTAAAAGGCCCTTCAAATACCTGTTGATGTGCCAGAAACACGCTCAGATTTTAAGCCCCGTTGTGGGCTAAACTTTTATGCAACATATGGGACAAATGTGAAGAGGACTTACATCCCAGAATTCAAACATGTTGGCGGTGTCTATTCCAAAATCCTTCACTTTTGGCTGCAAGGGGAAAAAAAAAACCAAAAACATATGAGCAAATAAAAATGGACTTCTACATTACAATATAGGTAGATTGTGAAAGAAGACTACTCACTGCATTGGTAGACAGAGCAACAAAGTGCTTGGCCACTGAGGATGCCTGCGATATAAAAGGAAGAGATGTCAGTGTACCATCCATATTAATACAGTCTATAAGCAATATTACAACTATGGACGCTGTTCAGGAGGTAGCAGAATGCAGGTCGCGCTGTAGAAATCAATTACCAGTTTGGGAAACATTAAAAGGATTCAAAAGCAGATGTTAAACCTCACAAAAACGAATTACCAAACAAGGCAACCAATCAGTAGAGCAGTTTATGAGAGTGGGCACTTACACAGGGATGCAGAGTGGGAGAGTGAACGGACCCCAGGCAGACCCCC